AAGTATAGTATTGTCAAGTGCAAGGATGTTGTAATGTGTCTTATGGAGAAAATACACATGGGGGGGGGGGGGATAGCTTCATTTAAGCATGAGTTACCGTGCTGTTTCTGTTGGCCCTGAGTTCAATGCTAATGTACTGACAACATATATTAAACAGAAACACAAATGAAATAGTTATAATCACTTGATTGAAGTGTTGTGATCAGTGTTAAAGGATTCTAACCCTACATTTCCCTTAACTGTTCAGTATTCACAGCAACCTCTTAAAACATAACCATCATGAGTAACAAGAATCAACTGTAGTTTGATAACATGTATTCAATACTTCCCTCATAACTAGATTAGTAATGTCTTCTTATATTACATATTTGATGCTGTGGTTAGAACTAGGAATTCAAAGTATATTGTGATTGTAAACCTTACAATTTAGAAGTAGATGATTATATTAAAATTTGATCTATAAGTAGGAAAGCTTAAAAATAAGTACCTAAATTATTTCTTTTCTAGTTTGGCCAGTATAATGTAAAAAGAGGCTTAGTTGGCTTAAGAAAAGTTATTTATCAAAACCTTGCAGTCCACTTACTATTTATTTAAAAATGTTTTTATTGATTTTAGAGAGTGGGTGAGGGAGAAAGATATAGAAAAATGAGGACACCCCCCCCACCCAGTGGGGATCAAACCAGTGATGTCTCTGCGCATGGATGTCAGTCAACCACTAAGCCACAAAATATTTAATATAAAAGATAAAGTCCGTCTTATCAGCTACATATAAGTGTAACTTATTATCTACTGTCAGAGTGAAAACCAACAACACAAACATTCCAACCTCCTCGTTTTTAGTTTCTCCGTTTTCCGCAGGTAGGTCTTCTTTAGGTTCCTGGTCAGCCACTTCCGCCTGCTTTCCCTTTGCTCCCCTTTTCCCTTTTGTTGGCACTTTCTTGTCTGCAGACTTATCCTATGAGAGACAGTATCCACAATAGTTGCACTGTGAATGTTCTGCTGCACATCAGCCTGAGTTACATGACACTTTTCACACGAGCCACCTTAAGGTCCACCACCCCCAGTAAGCAGGACAACCACGCCCACTAAGGAGAACTGTAACAGGACTTGCCTAGCAAGCCTTAATGATGTGTAAACCTAAGGCCTGAACTACACAATTTCCCCCCACACCTTCCTCATCATCCACTATTTTCTGAATTTCCACATGGCAGAACAAATGAGTTGTCTCTTTCCCCAGTAACTCTCAAACTTCTCCAAAGCATGAACAATAATCAAACAGTCAAATGTCCACTGAGCTGACAAGACAATCACCCTCACAGAAGCCCATTCACCTGAAAGATGTTGTATGGTCAGGTTGACTATCATATAATGAGTAGCTAAAAGGATCAATTTTGAGTTTATCGTTATCATTTAGGTGTTTTGAAGAATCTGAAAGCACACATATTAATTAGTATGATGATAAAATAGGTTTAAAATTTAAGCGACGTTTAAAGCACTACAGAACAATATTTTTGGATACCATCCATCAATGGGAAATTTAATAAATATTTTAACATTTCCTGTAAATGTAGCAACACCAAAATGAAATTAAATTAGGTCACCAGTAGTTGTATCAAGACCCCTATCAATAATGACCAATACCTCCAATACTTGAGTTAAATGGCCACAAAGGCAGGCATGTGGTCTCACAAACATCAATGCTAAGAGGGAAAAATCAGTGCACTGTATTCTGTACCAGTTGTGGCATTCCATACATGAACTGCTTGATGACTACTAATTCCGTACCTTTAGGATAAATACTAAATTAGGTAAACAAACATATTTGGGATAACACTGTTCCACAGGTTGCTACCATGAAGTGTTACAATAGCCTAGATTGAGATAATACCACTTTTTATTTATTTTTAAAAAATATTTTAATTGGTTTCAAAGAGGAAGGGAGAGGGGAGAAACATCAATGAGAGAATAATTGGCTGCCTCCTGCAGGCCCCCTACTGGGGATCGAGACCGCAAAGTGGGCATATGCCCTTGACCAGAATCCAACCCGAACCCTTTAGTCCGCAGACCGATGCTCTCTCTATCTGCTGAGCCAAACCAGCTAGGGCTGAAATAATACTTTTAACTATTAATAGTCAGAAAAAAAAACCAAAATAAATTAACACATTTCTCTAATGTATGCTTCTACTGTCAAAATGCTTCTAAGGAAATTATCCAAGTCAGGAGCACACGTTGGATATACATGCTTGGAAAACAGCATGTCTAACCTGTAGTATGGTAATCAATACATCAAAAGCTTTACCTTCTTTTAGGCTTTAAATGGATTAATTATGGTAACAAATAGATCGACTCTAAAACCAAAGATGTATTACATAAACGAATGGAAAAGGCCACTGACCCTCTTTTTCCTTTGGGAAAATGATCGGACAGGATTGCTCCTTAAGGAACACTGAGACGAGGACTTACCTGTTGATCTCTGAGAGGAAGAAAATAAAATGTTTATTACATGTGATGTTCCAAACTGGAGTTAAAATTGGAACTGTTTATATTAAAATAATTTTAAGGCAGACCAACATATAGACAGACATCGATAAGGAAAGAAAGAACAATTTAAAAGGTAAGTAGGCATAGTATTTCATCCAATTGGTTTATTAAAAAAGCAAAGAATAAGTAGCCAGTTTGGCTGAGCGGAGAGTGTGGGCCCGATCCCAGTAGGGTGCATGCAGGAGGCAACTGATCAATGGTTCTCTCTCATCATTGATGTTTCTCTCTTTCTCTGAAATCAATAATAATCTTAAAAAAAAAAAAGCAAAAAATAAAAGATGGATAATAGTACACTGTTCTTGTCAACATTTTGCAACATGATCCACCTTTTCTTTCTTCAGCCAAGAAAACTTCCTGGGGAACTCGAACTTTGTTTACAGAGAATTTCTGCATTATCTTATGGTGTGAGAAATTCTAAGCTAATGTACTATGTTTATACCTTCCTTGAACCCTTAAAAAAACACCACAAAGCAGAGCTATTAAAGAAAAATTAAGATTTTTACACTCAGCTCTGTACAATGTTTAAATAAACACTTTTAGAAAAGGGCTTTTTTTGGGGGGAAGAGATAGAAAATACCAAACTCTCACTTAAGTTCTGAGTGAACAGAAATTAATCACACCATGTGCTGGCCTTGAAGAACATGGAGAGCTTAGCAGAGGGTGATTTCACAGCCATATCCAAAAACAGTTACAAATGATGGACATATGTTCTGCCTTTACAGCTTAAGCTTTCACATGGACAGATCCCCAGGAACTTCCTTCAACGACCCGCAAAGTGAGCTATGCGATCGCCAATCTCTTCCAGAGCAGCAGGTGTCATGATTAACGCTGTTAGAAAAAAAATGGCCCTAGCTGGTGTGGCTCAGTGGGTAGAGTGTCAGCCCGCGGACTGACCGGTCCCAGGTTGGACTCTGGTCCCAGGTTCGACTCCGGCCAAGGGCACATGCCCTGGTTGCAGGCTCCACCCCCCAAAAAAAAAAAAGCAAAAAATAAAAGATGGATAATAGTACACTGTTCTTGTCAACATTTTGCAACATGATCCACCTTTTCTTTCTTCAGCCAAGAAAACTTTCTGGGGAACTTGAACTTTGTTTACAGAGAATTTCTGCATTATCTTCTGGTGTGAGTAATTCTAAGCTAATGTACTATGTTCATACCTTCCTTGAACCCTTAAAAAAATACCACAAAGCAGAACTTTCTCAGCTCTGTACAATGTTTAAATAAAGAAACACTTTTAGAAAAGGGCTTTTTTTGGGGGGAAGAGATAGAAAATACCAAACCCTCACTTAAGTTCTGAGTGAACAGAAATTAATCACACCATGTGCTGGCCTTGAAGAACATGGAGAGCTTAGCAGAGGGTGATTTCACAGCCATATCCAAAAACAGTTACAAATGATGGACATATGTTCTGCCTTTACAGCTTAAGCTTTCACATGGACAGATCCCCAGGAACTTCCTTCAACGACCCGCAAAGTGAGCTATGCGATCGCCAATCTCTTCCAGAGCAGCAGGTGTCATGATTAACGCTGTTAGAAAAAAAATGGCCCTAGCTGGTGTGGCTCAGTGGGTAGAGTGTCAGCCCGCGGACTGACCGGTCCCAGGTTGGACTCTGGTCCCAGGTTCGACTCCGGCCAAGGGCACATGCCCTGGTTGCAGGCTCCACCCCCCAGTAGGAGGCGTGCGGGAGGCAGCCAATCAATGAATGATTCTCTCTCATAGATGTTTCTATCTCTCTATCCCTCTCCCTTCCTCTCTGAAATAAAGACAAAAGAGTTTCGTGACTCCCTCTACACATGACTGCAAATGAAATACTTTCAGAAGAGTATGTTCTCAGAGAACGCAACTCTTGATCCACCCACACACGAAAGGTATGACCCGCTACCTCGGCTTGTAAACTTCACAGGCAAAAACGTGCACCTCCCTCTTCTCCTGGCCTCGGTCCCGGCCTCGCTATTGTTGTCAGAAGAAACACAAGCGTGCGACCGTGCACCGTGCACCAGCACCGACTACACACACGCACCCACACAAAGACGGCTTTCCTTGGCAAGCTCAGGTTAATATTTAATACTTTTAGTCATTAAGTTTCCTAAATTCTGCAGCAGCGTTAATGTGACACATTACACCTCCATAAGCCAGGACAAGTATGTCCATATTTTACTCAGGCCAGAAAGAAAAAAAGTTTACTTTAGTTATTAAAATGCAAAACTTAAAAAAAAAAATTAAGGTAAAATCCCGACATTTCAGGAGGCTGACATTTAACTTTCAAAATCAGTATCTCAGTCGCCGGCAACAGCGCTTTATTTAGGAGCAAGTCCCGCGGTCAGCAGCGCTTCGAAGACACGAGGGCCCACGAAGGTCCGTGCGAAACCCACCTTTCCCGCCGCCTTTTTGGGCTTCGCCTCCACTTTTGCAGGCGCAGGTTTCTGAAAGGAAAAGGGCGCACTGAGTCTCTCCCCTGGGCCCGACCCCACGCGGAAGGGACGGGGAGGGGGCTGCTCTACTTACGGCTGACAACCGGGCCGACCTCCTCTTCGGCTTTAGGAGAGAAAAGGAAAATGAGCGACGAGTGAAGGCTGCCGCGCCAGCGGACCCTCCCCCCACGGCCGGGAGCCGGGCCTTACCTCCTCCTTGGCCGCCCCCTCCGCAGAGCTGACCTGTGGGAGGAAGCGCACGGAGTGG